TGTTTGTTATATTACGGTAAATATCCTTGAATCATTGCAGATGATTCTAAATTCCCTGGTCAGTTATCATTGTGGGAACAATGATGAATTAAGACCAGCATGATGTGTGATAGATGATTATGATCATATGCATTAGATGCAAATCCCAAGGGAAGAATGATATGGTGATTGTTGGAAAGAGTTCCAGCAAGAGGAAGCGTTCCAAAGGTAAGGGCAAAAGGAAATTGACAAGTGTTGTCACTAAGCCTAAGTCCAAACCCAAGAAGGAAGAGTGTTATTTCTGTCATGCCATTGGGCATTGGTATAGAGATTGCAGACTCTACCTGGAAGATCAGAGGAAGAAGAAGCTTGCAGAAGCTTCAATTTCCGGTATCTTCATTATAGAGGCCAACTTGTGTACTTCTTCTTCATGGGTATTAGATACCGGATGTGCCTCGCACATTTGTGCAAATGTGCAGAGACTGCGGGGAAGTAGACAATTGGCGAAGGGAGAAGTAGATCTCCGTGTCGGGAATGGAGCAAAAGTTGCTGCATTGACCGTCGGGACTTATGATCTGACTTTACCTTCTGGCCTTGTATTGGAGTTGCATGATTGTTATTTTGTACCTGCCATCAGTAGGAACATCATATCGATTTCATGCTTAGACTCAGATGGTTTCAGATTTGTTATTGAGAACAAATGTCTGTCCATTTATAGAGGCGATTTATTCTATGGTAAAGGTTACCAGTTTAATGGCCTTTATATTTTGGAAGATGAACCATCTGGATACAGGTCGATCTATAATGTTAGTACCAAGCGATTTAAGCCGAACGACTTAAACTCAGACTCCATGGCCTGGTGCCATTTCTCGGAATCGGAACTCGCCACAACGTCTGAATACGACGTAGGCTCGTCATGTTCTAACAACATGAGTTCGTCGTTTCCAGTCACAAGAAAACCATATCTTGTAGGCTCTTGGCGAATTCTACCAGATCTCCGAGGTTCACTAGGAGGTGCTGTCTCAACAACTTGTGACACAGGTTGAACTGATTCGCCTTGTTCACTCGGTTCCTCGACTATTTGTGGTTCTCGAACTTCTTCGAGATCTATTCTACTCCCACTGACTCTCTTGGAGACGAACTCTCTCTCCAAGA